AAAAAATGTAGAGCAACTTTAATGGAGGAATTAAGAGCAACTCCAATGGAGGCATTAAATGAGGTATTAAACTAAAAAACTACCATTTTGATGCTCTAAAATTAAAAAATCCTCCTCCAATGGAGGCATTAAATGGAGAATTATTTTGGTACTCAACCACCCGGAGGTGCAAAAATAATCCCTGGAAAATAAGGTATCAAAAATATAACCACCCAATTAACCTATCACTATTTGACACGTGGCATTTAAAAATATAATTATTCATATATTTAAAATTTGATAATCTATTTGATACTTGTGGTTGGAGTGAATTTTTTTCCAAAAAGTATCAAAATATTATATCAAGTATCAAATGAATAGTTAATGCTCCATTTTGATATCTCCCCTTGGAGTTGCTCTAAATGGGGTATCAAACTAAAAAACTACCATTTTGATGCTCCAAAATTTAAAAATCCTCCTCCAATGGAGGCATTAAAGGGAGAACTATTTTGATATTCAACCACCCCGAGGTGCAAAAATACTCCCTGGAAAATGAGGTATCAAAAATGTAACCACTCTATTAACCTATCACAATTTGCCACGTGACATTTAATAATATAATTATTCATATATTTAAAATTTGATAATCTATTTGATACTTGTGGTTGGAGTGGATTTTTTTTCTAGAAGTATCAAAGTATTATATCAAGTATCAAATGAATGTTTAATGCTCCATTTTGATGTCTCTCCACTGGAGTTGCTCTTAGTGCCTTATTTTCAAAATTCATTTTTAAAGTGGTTAGATAATGAATTTATAATTTATTTTTACTTATTATAAAATTATAAATAAAAATGTTGGATAAATATACTTTTCAAAACACATCTAAAAAACTATCCGAAATTATTTTTTGAATTTTTATGTTTAAAGATCATTTTTTAACAAATTACCTAACACTTCGAAATAGCATATAAGCTCTTAAACACTTACTTTGCGCGCGCGCACACACACACACACACACACACACACACACACACACACACACACACACACACACATATATAATATGTATTTTTATCTAGAGAATATTTATGACTTATATTTTGATTTAGTACTATCTGATGGGGGAGGATTTGGCAACGGGTCTAACTCCTGTATTTGTACAGTACCACTATTATATGATACGGTAGTGGTATTGTATTTTCAATACCATGGTAATAATACCGTATTTAATTAATATATTGTTCTTTTATATTAGATAATAATTATAAAAATTACTACATAAAATAAATAAGTCAAAACTTACAAAGTTAAAATACAATTCATAAAAAAATGTTTATGAGATAACATTGAAGTTTAGTGCAACAAAAAGTGTAATCTTGTTTGATTGAAATGAAAAATTCATGGCTCTTTTAGTCTTATTTTTTAAGTTCTGGCTAAATCAATAAAGTTGAAGTTCGATAAATATTGAGGGAGTTTTGAGAAATTAAATAAGATCATATTATATAGCCAATTTTCTTGGTTAAAGTGTTAGAACTTTTATAGTGCTTTCATAGAGGGTCTTATTATAATTTATATAATTCAAAGTGTAACAATTGAAAATTAATAATAAAGTACCACGTACCGATATACAGTACTGAAAGTAACGATATACCGTATAATGGTATACCACAATTGTTGGTTTCGAGTTTTTCAATATCATATAATTAATAGGTACACGGTATTGATTAAATATTCGGCAACCATACCGAAACAACCCCAAAATCTATATAATCGGTAAGATATACAGGGGGCATGGGAGAAAAATCACACACAAAGAAGATATAATTGTATAATGAAAAAATACATTTTCTCTAATTGAAGTCTAATCACTACAAATTACACGTATATACTTAATTACTTTTTTTTCTTCAGATTAAAAAAATAATATACATTTTCTCTATTTTTGTAAATCGATTTTTTTTTTTTTTTTTTTAATATTTCAATACAATGTATTATTTTATTCCTTTTGTTTTCAGTACAAGATTCTTCTTTTCTTTTTCAGCGTAAACCTTTTCCGATTTCCTAAATCAAACCCTCAGCTTTTGTACCCAAATGCGGCAAAAAAAGCAAACACGAGGTTTCGATTATCTGAAAAGAATAAAACAAAAGCGAAAAAGAATCTAAAATGACGCCCGGTTCACCGACTCAGCCAGTTTCCCAAGTCTCTCCACTAACTCCGGCGACTAGGGGTGGGTTTTTTTTACCAAATTGCCCTACCAACCCGATGCCCTACCGTACCGTGCCGATTCTCTACCGAAAAATCTCTACCGAATTATTACCGTACCCTACCGAAATGTTTTGGTAGGGCAACGGCACTTAACATTATTAAAATGGTAATGACCTACCGTACCGAAATATTATTAATAAATAAATTTTTATTTTAATAATTCAATTTATTATATATAATTGATGTTAAAAGTTTTTATGTTATAATTTTATTTAAGAAATACTTTACATTAGGTAAATTTAGAACATATATTTAGGACACTTATATTTTAAAAATTAGTTTTGTACATTTTAAACATGTATACCTTGAATTGCTTTGAAAAAAATATATTCAATTTAGACTTAAATAATAGATAATATAAATTGGTAATTACCATTACCATACCCTACCGTACCGAACTTTTGGTATACCGAAATCGGTATACCGAAGTTTTTGGTAGGGCAATGGTAATGGATTTCATAATACCGAAATTTCGGTATTGGTAGTGATTCGAGGGGTTTGGTACGGTTGCCCTACCAAACCCACCCCTACCGGCGACACCTTCTTAGCCGGTTTCTTTCCCTTCTCCCGCCGGAAATCAAACCCCAAAGCATCCGAAACCTCGTCGGAGCTCCACCCGGCTTTCCGCAGTGTATCCGAGAACCGATCCGCTTTCAACAGCAACGCGTCCATCAGCGATTGGTTATCGATCAACACCATTTCTCCGTCGTCGAAGAACCCGGACGCCGCCACGTCGACAATCTCCGCCACGTCGGATTCCGCCCACCCGCTCTCCCTCAGAACCGACCCGATTCGGCTGACGTAACCCTCGACCCACTCAGGCATCCCGGATCTCGGCAGTGCCGGATTCGAATTCGACTTCCTGCGGCGGCGATTCACGGCGGCGTCGCTCCAGAACTCCACCCACCGCGGAGCTCGGCCGCCGGTGATTGTATCTAAACTTCTCCTCGAGAAATCGGCCGACGGAAGCGGCAACCCGGTTGATTTTTCGCTGAAGGACCGCTGGAATTTCGGGTCGGATCCGCCGACGAAGAAGTCGGATAAATCGAACCCGCAGCAGAAAATTAAATTCTCGTCGACGTAGAAAATAGGGTTTCCGGCGAGACAAGGGTTACAAGGTAAGTAGCAGTGGTTGAAAACGGGTATCATAAGCGGGCCCCGTTTAAGAGCGTTTCGGGCTATTTTCAGGGCGGTTTCCGGGTCGGGTGGGCGCGGGCCCCACGCTTTGGACCACAGAGAATAACGAGCTATATGGAAAGAAATTGAAGCCAGGGGGAGGTCAATGGAGCCACGGAGGTGTAGCCGAGCCGATCCAGACGACCGCCAGTCGGGGAAACCGGCGCCGAGAGGCAAGCCGGCTGACAAGACGGCTTTCAGGTCCGGCGGGAAGGAGAACCCAAATTCCGCCTCGGCTAACGCGAACTCGGTCTCGGATAACCCGGTCTGGACCGGCGTACCTGAATTTTTTAAGTGGGAAACTACTCTGTCTGCGAGGGATGTAAAAGAGACGAGGCTGTTGCGCGGTGGGAGCGTGGCGGAGGGAACGGTGGCGGCGGCGGCGCGTGCGGAGAGACGGCGGAGACCGGCTGCATGGGCCTTGTTCAGACCGGTCATCCTCCGGTCCACGTCAACCATAATAGCTTTCGGGTTTTCTTTATTGCAGAAAAATGGTTTGATTTGGTTGTATGGAGATTTTAGAGAGAGAGAAAGAGACAATATATAGAGAGCAATTGAGTAGGGGCCCACTTTCAGACTTCAAGAGTAATCTTAATAAATAGGAATTAATGAGTAATGACAATGCCAGAGAAATGTAGTTAATTAATTATTAAGTTTTGAATTTTTAGTTTAATAGGAGATCCAAGATCGATTCAAATGTAATGTAAATTACACTTAATCCTCTATAAATTAATTAATACAGCCGGAATCCTGAGAAATTCTATTAGTTTAGCGAATTATTAAAATATCGAGTTAATAATTTAACACATTTTTACTGAGTCGGGTTCGGGAGAAACTATTATTTAACCGTATTTATTAATTTATTGAGTATTAATTTATTGAGGTTTTAATGTACTCTAAGTAGAAGCTACATAGGGGTTTGAATGGGGGCGTAGATTGGTTAGTCGGGATGGCAATGGAACAGGTACAGCAAAATCCATCCCGTATTCGATATAAATTTTTGCATTAATCTTTATACTCGTTTCTTGTGGTTGTCGGGGCGGATATTTCTTGCTATTTTCAGGGTACGGCAGGGCGGGTACCCATTGAGGGCGGTCAAATTACTATCCCTATTGGTTAAAGTGAAATTAGTTTAAAAAAATCAAGTAATTTAGATTTTTTGATTAGTTGTGTTGTTTTTAGTGAAAAAGGATTACGGATGGAGTTAAATACAGTGTTGCCTGGTAAGAGCCAGCCGGGATAATTCTGCCGAAGAGCTAGGATATTTTTTATTAAAAATAATAAAAGCCGGTCGACATATGTAATACCACAAATTTTTTTTTCAACACCTCCAACATAAAAATATTAATTTGCCTTTAAAATAATTTAAGACCAAATTAGAAATACAAAATATTAAAAATAAAAATAAAACCCTTTCCTTTGTGCAAGACCAAAATAAATACATAAACTCACAAACTCATCAATTATTTCACAACTTAAAAATTCCCTTCTTCTTATTCTCTTTCTTCTTCACAAAACCCACCAACAACCCTACACATCAAAATAATCAGATATACACCAACATTCACAATGAAATCAGAAAACAAGAAGATGATGGTTTATGAAGTATGTTTACCCGTTTATTTTAGCTTATGGGTCGTTTTTTTTTCGGAGAAAAAAAAAATCGCCGATACCAGAAATGGGTGTTTGTAGACCGATTTTTGTAACCTATTTTTGTTACAAAAATCGGTAACCACGTGCCGATTTTTTAAACAAAAATCAGAATACCGATTTTTTTGGACAATATCGGTGCTGGCGATTTATAAGAAATATTGAATGAGGGCATAATAGTTTTCTTTGGTCTTGATATAAGAAAATTAAGTTAATTTGTGGTCTTGAACTAATGAACCCTTTTATATGTACTGTTTGAACAAAGAAAAATTAGGTTTGCATAAATCCGCCGCCTTAGTAAAATCCTTAGTTATAGAACCATCTAGTATTTACTTAGTATTGACACATTTATTTATATGCTGCACGCACAGTGTATTTCACCCGATTTAACATAGAATAGACCGTAGTTACACATGGCATTAGATTAGATTCATTAAATTATGTTTTATTACTTGGAATTGGAAGATAAATAAACAAACGGTTAATTATTCAAACAAAGCACGTGAGGTTGTCACATGTCACATGTGGATATGACCTTAATATCATTCCTTTGATTAAGAAAAATATAAAATATATATATATATATATATATATATATATATATATATATATATATATATATATATATATGTTAATTGTGGTGACTTAAATTGTTAACCCACTACTTTATACTTTTCATTTAATTTTTTTAAGGGGCTTATATTTGAGTTCTTTTGCAATGCAATTTATAGTGAAGCAAGTTGGCAATGAGCATCTTAAAAAATGAATAAAGATTGGATTTGTGCCATTTGTGGAATCGAACACCAAGTCTTGAATTAATATTATGGATTGGTAATATATTTATTTAATAATTATTATTAGATCCTTGAGTACTATATATTAAAGGCTACTAACATGCCCTATTGACCAAAATCAAACTGTAATAGTGTGGCACACGGGATTCTTGTACGAGGTCCATTGCTTAAGCCTTGAATTAACCACAAGTAAATGATGATTTTTCTAGATTAAAATCAAATGGAACGGATCGTATATAGTTTTTTTGAAAATTTTCTAAATTTTTTCGCAAGTTAAAAATGAGTCCCAATTTCCGTTCCAAAAAAGCGGAACTTTTAAAATTTCAAGAATTGCATTAATTTATAAATTTTTTTTCAAATTCGGATATAATGAATTTTCATATAAAAGATTCAATTTTTTTTCGAATGTTTTCAACAAAATACAATAAAATTCAAAAGTGGGTTCAAGGAAATTCAATAAAATCACCCACAGGAACAACAAAGTGCACAACACATAGTTCTTGAAAAAAAATGCAACATAGTGTTTACTTGGTCCGTGGGTATTTATATATTTTCATATAAGATATATCTTAAATTCTATAATATAATTACACAATATATGATAAAATTACTCTTTTCTTTATGTATATCGGAAAACAATTGAAATATTCAAAACTAAAATTATATTGGAAATTGGAATTTCTGATAATTTTATATATGATATCAATTTTGTTCCAAAAAAAATTCGAAAAAAATCAGATGTTGGCATTTAGGAAATTGGAATGAATAAAGGGTTCCGAATGCGAATTTGAATCGGCGGGATACAAAAATGCCGTTCCGATTTCCACCCCCAAGCAAATACAGTAGAACCTCGATAAATTAATACCCGATAAATTAATAAGCTCGCTTAAATAATAAATTTTCCCGGTCCCGACTCGGGAACAACGTGCTAAATTAATAATTCGGTAAATTTATAAGATAATACACATTCGGAAATATTAAGAAGCCCCATATAATATATAAATTAATAATTCATAAAACAAATACTTAAATTACATGGTACAATACATATTTTGTAGATCTATGAAGGTTGGATAAAATATAATTTAATTGCCGTTATTTTGGGCCTCAAAGAAAGTTACTGGTCCAGTTACGGTAAACAATAAGCCCATTGGATAAGCAATTGCAAATATGACCGGTTTTGTATATGCTTTAAAAAAAAAGGCGGCGGATATATGCAATCCCATTATTTTATTAGTTCAAATCCACGTAAAGCAATTTATTAGTTCAAGTCCGTAAATTAATTTAATTTTAATACATCAAAACCATACCCCTATCATTAAATAATACCCAAATACAAACAAACTATATTTTTAATTTGTCCAAGACGAAAAAGAAATTAAAAAAAAACAAAAAAAAAAAATAAATAGAAAAAACTCATATATGCCGCCACTAGACCGCCGAGACAACGACCCAAATATATAATACCCAAATACAAACAAACTATATTTTTAATTTGTTCAAGACTAAAAAAAAATTAAAAAAAAACAAAAATATAAAAAAATACAGAAAAAACTCACAACTGCCGCCACCAGACCGCCGAGACACCGACCAGCGAGACTTCCACCGCGCCGACGATGACCAGCGACCCACCCACCGCACCACCTCCACCGCACCATCACCACCACCCCACCACCACCAACAAGTCATTTTTACTAAACTTTTGTTTGTCAATTCAAAAACATTAATCGAGCATCGATTCTTGATAAATATGCGTGGATGAACATTAATCTATGCTTACTTTTTGTTGGGTTGCAATGCGTTACCTGATTTTGGAAAAAAAATTGAGATTGAAATTGATTTTTGTGTGTTTTCGTTGTTGTCCCAAATCGGTTTATCCAGACCGATTTTTTACACGAAAATCGGCGTCACAATACCGATTTTTGTTAACCAAATTGGAGACACAACGCCGACTTTACAAATCAAAATCGGGCGTTGTAACGCCGATTTTTTATTTTTTTATTTTTTATGATTTATGTTTTTTATTTGGTTTTGAATTTCATTAAGGGTAAATTAGTATATTTATGTTGGAGGTCTTGAACTAATAAATGGGCTTGCATATATATCCGCCGTCTTAAAAAAAAAAAAAAAATTTCTTTCTCGAGATTTTAAGGCGGGAGAATCGACAGGTTAGACGGGTCGACCCGTTGTGTTAGATGGTCTCATGGTCATACCTGCCGGTTCTGATGGGGCTCCATATTTTTTAAATAACATAGGGGTATGTTAGTAGTAATATTAGTTTTGAAAGAATGGAAGTGGGTGATTCAAAATTTCAAAGATTTTGGCGGGGGATGGTACCAAGAGGCAGACGGCGTGGATATCGTGGCGGAAATTGTGCATGGCCAAATCGAAGGGAGGCACAAGTTTTCCGGGACATGAGATTGTTAACTTTGCAATATTGCTGACAGTGGCAAGTCAAGATCTAGTTACACGACATACTTAATTTTCCGGTGGTTCGAGAGCAGCGCTCCCGAGAAAAAAAAATAAAGATTTTTTTGACAAAACTAAAAGTTTTTTTGAAAATAGGAAAAGAAAAGAAAAAAAATTAGGACTTTTTTGCAATAATGTGAATTTTGAGTCGGCTAAATAAATATATAAAAATAATATAATGAAAATTTTAAGATTTTTTTACATTAATTTAGATTATGGGTAGGCTTAACAAAAAAATATTGGATGAACTAAATAAATATAGACATAATACACTGTAAAAAAAATTAATTGAGTCCACCCTTACCCAAGGATGGACTCGCCCCTGGTTGTTGGAAAAGCATCTTTGGAGAATACTTACGCCTCATGACTTACTTCTATCTAAAATTATTAAAGCACAATATTTTCCGCAAGGAAACATTTTTAGGGCAGCGAGCGGAGACGAGGCCTTCAACAACGTGGGTGTAATTTACTTGAAGCTAGACTTTCTGTTGGGCAATTCGACAAATGGTGGGAATTTTGCCAAAATATCATAATATGTTACTCGATTTTGATCATATTAGAGTCGAAATTTTAGAAAACTGCATGAGATAAGAGTTGCAGCCCTTCATGCAATCAACCAAAGATCGGTCAAAATGATGGCAATCCATTAATGTTTCTGAAAGGGACAACTGTCTGCAAGTAGTGAAGGCTCTCAAATTTGGTGATCTCTATTGTTCCTCGTCGTTTGGAGCTTACTACTTCTTTTGTTCATTGCAATTTTCCGTTCGTTAAGCGCTTGGGCAATGTTTTGTCCCACGAGATAGCTACTAATTTTGATTCTTGT